GATAAAGATCTGCACAACATGAACAATATTTTTTTAAAATTTAAAAAAATCCCGTTTTATTTTGAACTTTTTTTTGAAATACATGTACGTGTAATATGAAGAAAATGTAAAGCGTAAAATTGTTGGAACTCGTCAGATTCAGTCTCAATAATGTGTTTCTATTGTAAAACATACGTTTCTAAAATATTCTAGAATTGTGTTCGTTGCATTACATTTGTACAAATTCTATCACATATGCAACAAGAAATAGAAATTTTATCCAAATGAGAGAAATGAAAAGTACTGTTACACTTGTACATAGGAATATACGTAGGATATTGCCATACAGCGTATAGAAGAAAAATTGAATTTATATATGCATGTAACTGTAGTGAATGTTTAAATCTGTATATCATTGTTGTTACATTTATTAGATATTTAATTAATATAATACAAACGATAACCAAAAAATCATGTTAAAATATCGTAACGTAATATAGCTTAGAAAAATTAGTAAATCAGTTCCGCTAGTAAATCATGATCCGACAGTATACCATTTTCTTTATCACATACATCCTTGAATCCAGATAATACTCACATGTAGTTGTATCTTTTATGCTAAATTTATCAAGGAAATTATGTTTTCATGGTGTGCCAGTGTATCTAACAGACAGACAATTTCATTAAGCAATGGTAATTTTTAATTATTTAAACGTTGAAACATGCAGGAATTGTATAGCTGAAACTAAAAAAACATTGCAATGTATGTACATAGAATTTTAAATAATGCTAAATCTATATTTAAAATCTAATGCACCAGTTGCATCGTACAAAGGTTTTTCCAGAGCAAAGATTTTGCAAAGACCTTTGTATATATTTATTTAGATAATTTGTTAGACAATGTATACTTTTAAGTTTGTATTTTAATGCGATTTAGTTACACAATTTAATGATCAAAGTATCAAACCCATAGATAACAAACTGATAATTGAAATGATTGAAAAGTGGAAGAAAGGCTCTTTATTTAAAAGTTATTGGATCAATTCGTAATTACGAGGCACACCAATGAACTATAATTGATTGAAAATAGACGTATAATAATACCTGCATACATAGTAAATGATTGTTATTTTTGTTTACGAAATTTGCCCAGAAATTATTTTAGCTTGCAACGATTGATCTTAACATTTGACTGTCCGAAGCTTAAGTAGATAATAAGAAATCCATTTTGTTATTTATGATATAGAAAAATTTATGATTTCTGTGTTATGATATCTGTAGATCCTTAAGAGTTTGCTCGATATTCATAAATGTCAGATAAGCAATAAAAGAAACAATTGAAATTAATTAAATATAAAGGTTTTAAACGGTAAAAACACATCATTTCCCCCTTATCTGGCGTGTATGAATTATAATTTTAATATATTTAAAAATGAATTTATAACAGGCAATAAATTATTTATATGTATTTAACATTAAAAAAAAAATCGATACTTCTATGTCTGAAACTTATAAACATCTAGCGTTGTAAAATCACCGAATTATGGACAATGAGTACAATCCAACGAATGCACATGTAATCTCGAATTTTTATTCGTCAGTTATATCATGTAAGTTCTTTGTGGTACAATTATAGCATTTAGTGTTAGTTTCTCCTTTTATACGCGAGGCCTGTGTATCAATTACTTTTATTTTTCTTTCTTTTTCTTTTTCCTCGTTAAGGGATCGATGCAACATATCTATAAGATGTAACGGGATAATTCATAAATATCGATATCGTTACCATTGTTTAGCCTACATATATGTTACGTTAATCACGATGTCACGTCGATTATTTAAATCATCTCCGCATCCGTTCACAGTTTATTATAAAACGTCATAACATGTATCGCGTTATAGATTGTAACTTTTGATGCCAATATACAAAATCATCGTAATAAAACTTTTATGTAACACCACAATGTATAAATTAATTTCGTAATTAATAATTTAATAACTTTAATGTGTCGATTGTTTGTAAGTTTGTTAATCAGACCGAAGATTTGAAAAGATTAGTTTTTCTAAAATTCATCGACTATAGATGAATATATTATAGGAACGTGTGTTGTGTTTACATACGTAATACGAAGATAAATAGTTTCCAGTGACGCATCTCTCTACATTATCGAAAATTTTCTAAAATTATCGCATAATTGGCAAAGCTGACGCCAGATAATTTGATAGAAAATAATATTGTCGCTAAATACTCTGGTTAGCTATTTCTGTTTTGCAAAATATTGCCAGGTAAGAGACAGGAGAAAGTAAGTATCGAAAAGAAAAATAACGTATTTTAATTTGACATTAAACCGGAAGTTGTCCGGTTAAATTAAGAATAAAAAGTAGCGTGCAACTGCGATCTACATGTATTAACATTGATAAAGCGAGTGGGAATTAATAATTGAAAAATAATTAAAAGTTTGTTTGAATGAAATTTATACGTATAGGAGAATTATAGATACATGCACGTGTATAGAATGTGCTGTTTACCACGTTTCGAGTGAAATATGTAAAAACTTTTTGGTTTTTGCAAAGCTCAAAATTATCGCAATGATTGTTTCGAAACCAGGAAATACACTGCACAACAAAGAACTAAGTTCATACTGGAATATGCAAAAAGCAGAATTTTCCAGCTTTTCCAGAGCTCGAAATTTATTTATTATCGCAGGGAACCAGAGAACACAACGTACAACGAAGAGATGATATTTTTTATTCGTATTAAAATATACACAAAAAGCAGAAATTTCGTGCGTGCAAAAGCGCCCGAACTCGATACGCGCTGCGCTCAACGCGTTAAACCACCGTCTTCGTTCGCATTTTAGATAATTTCCATGTCATTGGAACTTGGAAAATTGTATTGTTCAATTTTCAAAGTATACGCATACGTGCGTGAGGGAACGCATGCGCTTGTTTCTTTTCATCGTGGCGAGTGTGTGCAAGCAGGATCGCGTGTATGTGACGTGTACGCGAGAACAAAGCGCAAAATGAGAAGGTCGAGTCGCGTGTGTCGTTCGACGTTCAATGAAACTGGCGATGAGTGGTGGGTGATCGATGGAGAAAAACAAATGAGACGACGACGACAGAGAGTTGCAGTGGATACCGCAAGATGTCGCGAGCTTAGGGTATGCTACGAGAGGCAGTGGAACGCAGCGCGCGGCGCGCGGCTCGCATCGTTCGGAGTCAGAGTAAACACACAGGAATACGATCCCGGAGAACAGGCACCTCGTGCGCTGCCACTGGTAGATAGTAGTCGCCAAGTAGTTTGAAGCTTGCGTCGCGAAACAACGAGAGGAAAAACGTGAAAGAGGATCTGCCGAAAGGGAAGTGTCCGCGTGGTGGACAGCGAGGCGAAGGATCGGTGAGGGGTGATGATACGACGCGACAGGGCTGGAGAGCGGCGGTGAGGGCATCGTCGGCGAGGGCATATCGTCAAGACGCTTAATGTGCGCGGTGCGGGCGCGTGGTACGCTCGAGGCGGCCACAAATGAAGAAGTGGGAAGCGACGGCGAGGGCGGTAGAGAGGGAAGAAGATGTCGAGTGGCTCGGCCTCGAAACTCGTGAACGGTGAGAATAAGAAGGAGAACGTTCACGGATACGAGTACGGGAACAAGAGAGAAAACGAGAGCGGCGCTGCTGGCAGCACTGCCTCTTCCATAGTAACTCTAGCTGGTGATGCTAGTAATGCTAGTACTACTACTACTACTACCACCACTACTTCTTCTATTACTAGTATTATTGCTGCTGCTGCTGCTTCTGCTACTATTGCTACTACTACTATTATTACTGTCGCCGCTGGTGGTGTTGTCGGTACTGGTGCTGGTACCACTGGTACTGCTGATTCTAGTGCTGCTAGTGAAAGCAGCAGCGGTAGTGGTGATAGTGGCTGCGGTAATGGTGGTAGTGGTTGTTTCACCAGCAGTGATAACGGTGCCAGTGGTAGTAATAGCGGTGTCTGTGTTGCCGGCTTGACCGCCGAGGGCGTCGTCGGCGTGGAGTTTTGCGACGTTGATTCCGAGGTGAAGATACCGGGAGCTCGGGAAGTTGTATGCGATGAAAAGGATGTGAGCTCGAGGACGGGATATAACGAGATCGTGTTCGAAGAGCCGTACGACGAGAGGTGTATCGGGACGCCAGTTGTCAATCTGAGCACCGCCACAACCACCACCACCACTACTACTTCCACCACCACTACCAGCACCACCACCACCACCACCACCATCACCATCATTGAGCACGACGATCGAATCACGACCACGACTGTTTCTGCTCCTTGCTACGAGGAGGACGAGGAAGAGGATAACGAGGAGGACGACGACAACATGGTCGCGGCGATGAACGAACACTTGTCTACCACGTCGGCGACCAGCGGCGTTCGAAGTAACACCGTCTCCACCGCCAGCACCACCGTCAATCCCACCATAGTTAACCAGGGGAACAGTTGCTCCCGCGGTGAATTCGAGAACGTCGACGAAGATGGTAAACCAGTCGCCGGGATACTCAGTTTCCCCTGTGACTTCGATCACATGTACGCCAGCATGACAGACAGCGGAGCCCCGGCGGTGGCCACTGCCACCTCCGCACTCGGTGTCAGTCCTCTCCGTGGCAACGAACCGCGTCAAAACGATCTTACCGAAGTTAAACATCTCAAGGAACTGTTGCTCCTTCATCTCGACCTGATCCAACAACAGTCCGAGCAGATCGTTACCAAGGATAAGCTTTTGGCAGCTCTGCGACAGGAGAACGAAACGGTATCCTTCTTTCTGTTTTTTTTTTCTCCCTTCGTTCTTTCCCGTCGGGGCATGATCGTTTTTCCCTTTTCCTTCTTCTTTCTTTCGTGCTATTCCCGCGCGAGCTTTGTATCACTACGTACGGCGTGCGTTCCAAATTACCCGCGTCCACGTTCGTGTGTGTCCGTGCGGTGTGTGTATGTGTGTCAATATTTTGCCTTTTCTCGTTCTTTCAACTCTGTGTTTTCCCGGTTCTCACTCCTCTTTCTTTCATTGGTCACTTGGACGTGAAGGTCAGACGCAACATCGCCGCACGATGGCGCTGTTCCACATAGAACCACAACTTTAAAACCGACGAAACACGTACAATTTCGATACCAGTTTCTCGCGCGCAAACTGCTTTTGTGACGATGATGCTCTCGCTGTAGAAAATGGAAGATCTTTGAGCGAACGGATTTTTTGAAAGAACTGGTCGATCCTCGTAACACAGTATCCTCGATCACTGTTGCCAGTACCTTGTGTTATTTGTTTGTATACGTACATGCGATTAGATGCAAAAATGATCATGCCTGGGATTCGACAAGAAATCAAAACTCCAGTGACCTACCGTTTGTTGACAGTAAATAAAAGTTGTTTAAATCGATGCTAACTTGCGTAGTTTCTGTGATCATTTATTTTTGAACATTCGTATTCTTCAATAAAGATACAATTCGTTTTAATTTTTTTACATACTTGAATTTTTACATTTAATTTATATTCTCCGAACAGTATATTCGTAAATTAAATATTCGTCATGTTTGTTACCATTCAAATCATTAATTCTCTAGAATTAGATTTACATTAATTGCTCCAATGTTTAAAAATTTATATTTCCATAATTTCAATATATCAAAATAATACATTTTCCACGAGTGTTAGTGTTTTTTTTTTTAGAGATCCAGATGCAACTTACTTATAAATGTGTGTGTTACAGCTTAAGCTGCGGTTGGAGCGTATGGACAGGCGTGTAAATTTACAAAAGCTCAGATCAGAGAATAACGAAAATTCCATTGCATCTGAACATATAGGAGTATGTTCTTCTCCGACTATTAATTCTGTGAATGTGCCATCGACTAGCGAGCTTCACAGAAATATTCAATCTGAGAATAATAATTCTCAGTACAATGAAAGCTTTAAGATACGTTTAAATACCAGTGGTGGAATTACTACCGTCAAACAGGAACCAAATGATAATCAAAGTAAGCACGAGACAAAAATAGAAACTGGTAACGATATTAGACTAGAGTGGGAAGAGAAAAAGAAGAGGAGAACAGATTCGACGTCAATATCCAGTGGAAGTAAAAGAAAAAGGGGTGTTTCGTGTTCGTCTACGATTAGTAATGACACATCCTCTACGTTACCAGACAAAACATTAGGTCAAGAAAACAACAGAAAAAATGATAGGAAAGGAAAACCATTGACAAAGAAGGAATCCTTCCTTACTACAGAAGAACATTATTATACAGCTGTTGGTGATCCTAATTATACATTAAATTTAAAAGAACCTAATTTAGTAGAAAGTGATACCTCGTTAGAAGTTCCAAATTGGAGGGTAAAGATATATACAAGCTGTTATACGATGGAAGGAACGGAAAATTTGGATGATGAAATTTTTAACAAAAGACATTTAAAGTTAGAAAATGATGAAAGGAGGAGGAAAAGATGGGATGTACAAAGGATAAGGTTTGTATCTTATTAGTAAAATAATGTAAAGTCACCATATTTTCGATATTTTGTGTTAGTTACAGTAGTTATCATTAGTTAATTAAGTAAATTTCAATGCTTGAATAAATTTTCGTTTTTAGAGAACAGAGACATATTGAAAAATTGAAACAAAGACAAGAAAGACAGAATCATCAAGCAACGTGTTATAATACAAATCATACTGGACCGTGTCCATCTACTGTTGAGGAAGAGGCTGTCTTATCGTTATGGCCTGACGTAGAACAAATACAAAGTCTTCAAGTGGATCCCCAGTTACCTATTGCTGCATTTGGTGCCCCTATTCCTAGTTTTACTCCAAGGTAAATAATATCAAATCAAACTATATTTTACATTTGTATTAGCTATATCGATTTTATAATTACAGTGAATTTTCTTTACCTTGGTCAAATATGTCACGTTCGAACAGTCGTCGCCCAAAGCGGTCAACAGGTAGAAGAAAATCTACTAGAAGATAAACTTTTATACCGGTGGACAGGACTATTTTTGTCTTATCATTTTTAATCTTTGTTATAGATATGCTCCCTATATTTTTGTTTTTTCTTTTTCTTTTTTTTTTTCTAAAATCATTCTTTTTATTACATGAAATAGGAGCACCAAAGATATTTTTATCATCTTTTTTAAAGCAAAATTCAGGAAAGATGACTATGCTTGACAGGAGTACCTACAACGTATTTTTATTTCTTACTTATTGATTCAAGTTTACTACTAAAACTTGATTTTCAGATCTAAGAATCATTTTATTTGTACGACTGTAATTTGGTATCATCTCAATTTTATAGAAATATTATTCATTTATTCAATTTTAATTAATATTTATTGAATATACTTTCCAATCTGGAATTCTATAGATTAGAACAATAGACATAAAAAAATCAGAGTCAGTATATTTTCTTTTTGTACTAACTTGATAAAATGAACTGAATTAAATATGTCGGAAAGTTAAATATGTTCAAGATACAAAGTTTATATACATGTAAATAATGTAATCCATTTCAAAATTTTCGTAGCCCCTCTTCTTTAATTTCAATTATATAATTAATTGATATCGGCATATATGCTTTATAATTAGCAATTCAGATATATTTTTGATATTGTAACGGTTGAGAATATTAAAATGAAAACTGTGTGTAAATTAAATGTCACAGTCGAAAAGATTTAATCCGTATCGAAACAAATTTTATGAACTTCATGTAATGTTGATCGATTTTAAAGTACAAACTTGAAATTGGTACACAAGTATATAAAATTGTTAATTACAAAAGGGCGTGTATTGAATTTTAAAATGAATTTGATTCGTTACAGTTTTCGAGTTATTTTAATAAATATGTGCAAAATTATTTCATTTGTACTGCATCCTTTATTAACTATTTTTATTTAGATTTTAATAAAGCGCATAATTATTTATAGAAAAATTATAAAATATTTATAAATGTAAGTCTTCCGAAAATATTAAAAATATACGTATAAACAGATTTGTATAAGAGTTTAGAAATGGACTTAAAGAGCTTTTTAAAAGATCATGCGAACGCGTCAAATAGTACAATGAAAAAGTACATTTTGTTTTGTTTTTGGTTCTATATAAAAATTAAATAAAAAGTCTAATATTGTGAATGATTTAAAAATGAAAAAGACGATAATGTGTTGCACATTGTATTTTATTAATTTAAAATATAAAATATCTATTATAATTATCTATAATTTTACCTGTTTTAAACTTAAATTTTGAATTATTTTTATAGGCAAATAATTTAATGTATTGCTGTACGATAAACTTATAATTGGTTATAATAGAGAGATAAATGTTAAAAAGTTAAAAAAAATACATAGCTATTAATAATTTGTAACTTCTGGCATGTATAATAGTATATATTTATGTTGAATTTATATATGTTCATATTGTATAACTGTGAAGTATTTATGTAATTTTTTCTTTTTATAACGAGTGACAATGGTAATGAAAAAAGAAAAGGGGTTACGACGTACACTCAGAAATATTGAAATTCCATGAATCTAAAATAAATCTTTTTTTCAATTTTGATTAACATCAATCATTAAAAATATATGGTTCTGTTTTTTTTTTTTTTTTTGTATTTTTTATTTCATTATTCTCTTTTTTTCCTCTCTTTCTAAATTCTACCGTTGCATTTAATTGCAATTGTTGAAGAACTTTTCAACAAGATGTATTAATTTTTTTATGCATATAGTTCAATTATGTTATTTTATTTTATTATACATGACAAGTGATAAGGTACTCGATTCAACCGTCCATGAGAAATGTGAGCATTTCGCAAACTGAAATGTTCAACATTAAAACACGGTGAAAATAGTGATTATAACTTGTAAATAAAAAGAAACATCTTTCCAATTATACGTAAGTTTTTGTTTATTATTTTATTTATAATAGTGCGCATTACTGCTGATAGATATTGAACAATTATATATTTTGTTTACGATAAATAGAACAAACGCGTGTAGCATCTTTTAGGTACATTAAGAAATAGTATAGAATTATTTGCATTGTTCTCGTTAATTCGATTTTATTCTTAAATGTACCAAAGAAAACAAAATTATCGATTGTAACTTTTTGCTTTGAAATTAATAATTTCATAGGACATACGACAAGTTTACGATTTTGCAAATGTTTCTCTCGATGCTTTATTAAATATTATATGTAATATTATTGTCATTTCAGACAACACAAACTTTCTCGTTCTTATCGTTATTTGAACGATTTAAAATCCAATTATGAAAACAGAATTGCACAGTGTTGAACATGAAATCCCTTTAGTTGAGTTTTTTGACACAGTCGCATGGGTAAACTGTTTCGAAGTTTCGTGTTATGACTTTCGAATTAACGAGATTTTGACAGCCTACGTAATTGTCATGTGTATATGTATATAAGTTCACCTTATTTTGTGTGTGTATATATGTATATGTTTGATATACTGTATGCATGCAAGTATAAAGAAATGTATGTATATTTTAATTGGATCGATGTACATATATATACATACATCATATGTATAGGATGACTCATTTATTTTGATTATGCTAAACATTTCCGTCATTTCGAATGACAAATAAAAGTATAAAAAAAAAAGTTGTTTAGTTCAGCGTAACAATTTTTCAAGATCGCAGTTTTTAATGATCATGTTTTTCAGATGAATTAAATCTGATTTAAATTAAGCGAATTAAATGTTATTTACAGATAGAGAAATTGTAACGAGTTAATTTAATCTATATTTTTTTATAATTTTGTTGCGTTAAGCGCAATTCGAGAAAGAACAAAAATTATATAAACTGTGATCTTGGAAGTTCTATTGCGACGACGAGAATTTCTTTGAACTAGACAACTTTTTTCATTTTTTATTTTTTTATAATATTGAATTATCAAAATAAATGAATCATTTGCGTAAGGGCATGAGTGAGGGTATGCGTGTTTTGCAAAATATATTTATTATATTGTGTACTGTATATAAATATTATACATAATAGTACACGTATTATTGCTCTATATACAGGTTGTTCCGTAAGTATTGGATCATTTTTTTTTTAAACTATGATAGTATCAACAAATTATAATTTCGACCAAATATTTATATTATTATATGTTATATTGACACACATTTCTAAATATTATATTAATTTATAATCGTGTGGAATCATGTTTATTTCTAAACAAATTGAAAAGATGTTAAAACAAATAACAATGAAATAGTAAAAATAAAGAGAGTGAAAGAGAGAAATGGATGAATAGAGAGAGAGAGAGAGAGAGAGAGAGAGAGAGA